AGTCACATCGTAACTTTGATGATCGTTTGGAAGTTTTATTTGTTCGTTCATTACTGTAAATGTAAACGTTGTAGAAGCTGATGGTACGAATAATGAACAATTTTTTGAAGGAGAATGTTTTTGTAGTAAATAAGATCATGGAAGTCGAGAACATATTCCTGGCTGAAACGTTTCAAATGAGTTTCATTTAGCCTTTTACAATTTATTTGTTTGTTTTTAATAGTCTGCAGCATTTCCATTTCGATTTGACAATTTTTCATTTTTAAATTCAAACTCTTCTAAATTGTGAAACGTATTATTTTGACTCCAATAGAAAAAATATTTGCACTGTGACTGAGCTCATTAATATCCCAAAAGAATAGTGTTTATAACACTGTATGAAACAAATAAATATGTGCCACATTGTTTTTGAAAATATATGTTGTTTGTTATGTGGATGTAAATGTGCTTTGGTCAACCTTTTATTATGTAAATGATATGCAAATCATATGCAAATTAGTCCGCCACAGTGGTTTAAATTCCTCGGGAGAACACTGTTATCATAGATCAATTTATCACCATTTTATGCATGCGATTGTAATTTTAAAGTTGGCAAAATAGGCCGAAACCTTATCCCAAATGAAAATAGAATCCTTTTTTTGATATTTGATGACATTATTTCAAGATGAAATAATATAATAACAGACAAATCATTGAACGTTCTACTTACTTTGGTTCGGTCGCTTCATCACCAGTTTTGTTAGCGTACTCAGCATCGTCACTGACTGCAGAGGTGTTCAATTCGGGGTTTGTGGCTTCCTTGACATCATCACGTACGTTGCCCCAATTATGGGAACCAGCACCATCACGTTTGTCTTGGGCTTTCACAGAGCTACTTAAAAAGGTAGGAAGAGACAAGGTAAGAATACTATTAAAGTAGAAAGAATGAAAAAGCATATTTAAACAAGGAAGTGTGTTACATGCTGATGAAGTAGGAGGACAAAATATAATTTATGTAAACTTAGCATACACATATGCATGCAGGTATCGGCAAAGGAGATCTATTAAATGGCAACATGGTCAAATTCCACTCCCACCTCCATCATGTAATTTACACTGCTCAGTAACTACAGAACTCAAATAGTTAACTGGAAACTGGCTTGAAATGTGCATGTTTCTAGAACAAGTTGGTAGAACAAGTTATTGAACATTTTGGGCACCAGAATGATTGATTTATTACAGTCACTGACTGCCTTTAATGCAAAACTTTCTCAGTGAGAAGCCAAAGTTTTTCTGTGAAACTGGACAATGAGAAATGATTTGTATTCCCAAATATCTGATTAAAGATGTTTTTTATATAAAATCACAACTCTTCTTGGGGCCAAATCTTAGAGCAAACGATATCTGCACTCAAAAACCAAAGTATAATTGTTCCTGAATACAAATTTGCATTTGTCCTTCAAATTCAGTCACAAAATTATTACGGTTACACACGGTATAGAATTATTCATGAATGCAATATATACAGCAGTGGAAACCACAGATTCAGAAATGATGCTGAAGTTGGCCCCAAGTTTATGCAAAAAAGTATTCTTTTATTTCAAAAACACTCAATATATTTTTGACTAGTGACAGGAAAGATTAACCAGCCATTAAAAAATGAGCCTGATCAGTAAACTGTTATGATAGTTTGGTATTTCTCGTCTCTATAAATCAAATTGGTGTCTAGCTTTAGAACTCATTTTGGTGTTCTGAGACAAGTGCATGTTATTAAGCATAATTGACTGAAACTAGAACACAGGTGTGGCTTAAGTTTTTCAGAAAAGTATCAAAAATATGAATTCAGACCAATATTGGGGGGGGGGGGGGGCAAACATCAGCATCGCAACTCTGAAATGTGAGAAGCAATATTTTCACAAGCAAAATAAGCCACCAAGCTAGGAAAAGAAAAAAGCACAAATGAGCATGTGTCAAGCTACCTTTCACCAAAAAAAGACATGCATGTCATTACTAAAACTGCCTCACCTTTTATCACTTCCACTGTGTCGTTCAAATTCGCGTTTTCCTCGATTATCACGTCCTCCAAAGTATCCACCCCTGCCACGTCCTCTTCCACGGAATCCTCGTCCACGTTCAGATCTTTCTCGTGAATCACGTTCATTCCTGAAATCAACCTGTTGGGGAGTTGTTTGTGTCGGTGTTCCTTCGGTGTCGTCACGTGGAGTGAATGGTCTTCGATTACGTCGGTTATCGGGCCTCTTGTTTTCAATGTCAAAGCTATTGAATGTTGAGCGGTTTCCTTGTCGTCGTGAGTTATCCCCATCCTGTTGTTGGGGTTGTTGTTGCTGCTGTTGTTGTTGTTGCCGGCGAGGTGGCTTATTCAGGGTCTCTCTCGTAGAATCTAAGTTAGTAAAAAACCAGTTAATACGACAAAGATCAATTGGTGTTAATTCCAACCAGTTCTTGCAATACATATTCTGCAAGTGCTATTGGCATAATGAGAGACATTCACTCTCAATTTCTTTAAATATGTTCAAAATTATTGAAGGAATATGTTAAATCATCGCTAAAGTAATTTCTTAGAAACTTTGTTGTAGGAAGATTGTCGATTGTAATGCCATTTGTCTGACCACGCCAACTTTCACAACTATGAAATTCTATTGACACTTCTGCAATGCAAATCATCTGAGAAAAGGCAAATGAAGTTTTAAACTAGTGGTAGATATATGCTACGTTGGAGGAATGCATGATGATATACTGTGAAATACTTTATTTTAGCAGGAATAAATTTTCGCTGAAAAGACTTTAGGCGTTTTGTATGGAATGTATTTTTACAAATTTTTGGCGAGTTGAATGTAAAATATAGGAAAAATAGTATATTCGCTGGAATTTATTTTCACCGAATCATTACTACAGCGAAAATTAATTCTGAGTGAAAATAAAGTATTTTACAGTATTTGAACTAATCACGACAATAGGCAACCGAACCCGATTGCTTTCATATATCACAGTGTACTGAAAACTACGAAACAGATGTAGCTGTCAAGTCTACAAAGACTAAAGGTTTTGCGAATTTGCTAGCTATCATTGAACCGTTGTACAAACATTGCAGTTACTCTTAATGTGCTTGTACAGTGACTTTGGCTGTTCTAATTTCTGTCTGACACACGCAGCACTTGGAATGGAGGGAGGTGTGCATGCTTGGCCAGCCAACCTGTTTCAGCTAGATTTATAAATGACTGCTAATTTTATATTTAAAGAAAGCAACGTTAATCAATGAGCTTTATACACTTCAATGAACTTTATACTACTGGTAATCACTTCTTGAATGATTTACAAATTTAATAAATTGAGTAATGACAAAGGAAAATCTACTAAATCAATAGTTTCAAGGACAAACAATTGGTCACTATGCCACTCAAGTAAGTATTATGTGAAGTACAAATAAAAGGGGCATCAAAACAAAAATAGCATTTATTTTATTTCTATTTAGAGAAAATGATTATTTTTTTCTATTTTTTATAAAATTATTGTGTTGACCTGAGCTAGAGAAATGATACAGTGTGTGGAACATGGTGGCATTGTGATGTGATCTCTAACATCTATGGATAAGTATTCTCCATTGCAAATTTTAAATTTTTATTGGAACAAATCCGCGAGGAAACAAGTCCCAGATCAGATGACCTGGTCCTTTATTGAAGCATTTTCTGGTATTTTGACATTTCATTGTCAAAAACTCTACACATGGCAAGTTTATTATCATAATTGCAGCATAAAATGCACTGCTGTAATATTCAGTCACATATTTTAGATGCAAATTGGGGATATGCAGTTAATTATAAACTGACGAAAAATAATTTAAAACTTGATAGGAAATGTTTACAACAGCTCTACTTGAACGGAACGTTCATGGATTGTAAAGGTTAATTATAAAACAAACCGGTCTTTAACCGGTCAATGTTTACAAATCGGCAAATGTATACCTCCCCCCAATGAAAGTTAATGTTTATGACAACTTGTAAGACCTTACAATTTCTCATAAATATTTAGCATTTGGGGAGTTGGGGCACAAATTACTCTGGGTCTGACACTGAACTCTAGTTTTAACCTTTTTACCACCAGACATTCTCGCCCAAATTTGTATGCACTATTTTTGTCCGATCTTCTGAAAGAAAGGGCAGACTATAACCGGGACTATTTTGTGAATTTGTGATGAAACGATTGAAACTCTAGAGGAAACAAATTAATGAATTGCTACAAAAATACTGTGCCCTACACACAGTGCATTTAAACCAGAAAACCATTTCTATTTTAACCCAGTACAGTGTACAACCATGCATTCCAAGCATTCATTTGGAGTAGTGGAACATATTTGATGCAAAACTATTTTTAGCTGTTGACTGTTCTGTGTTATTCAGTAAAGCAAAACTAGAGTCGACACTGATAAAGGTGTAAAGTGTTTAAAGCGAACATTTAAAACAAGTCATTGTAAATGACAGTCCCTGTTGCAATTAGGGAAAATTTGTATTCATTCCCAAGGTCAAACAGCAATTTTGAATTCCCTGACCTCAACTGCTCTGCTCCCAGAAATATTTTTCATTCTTGTCTTGTGCCAATTTTACAGAATGTAAAAAAACATTGAATCAGTAATTATAATATTATAAATGTAGTCATGACAATCGATCAAACTTTAATGTAAATGAGAGGGAACACTGATCCTGAACACGCACTCACAAATTGGCCTTCATAAAGCTCTGAAAAAGATGTATGCGATAAACCAGATATCAATTGCATGGACACTCCTATAAAACCAGGCTTATTAAACAAGTAAATGTAAAGGTTAAATAAATCTGATATCGAAGGGTCACTCGTAGGATATCCTTATATCCTCTAGTATATACCAAATTATTTTTATTCTAAGTTGATTATAGTGGCTCCAGGCATCATGGCTCCAAATACACTGATCTGTGGCAAACAGAGTCGACGGCAAAACCAAGGCACCACAGCTAAACTCTTGATCTGGCAGTTACTGAAAACAGTTCACTTGTATAATGGGGGTTGGGTCATTTCTACAAAAAATTACATTGAATACATACAACACGCATTTGTGAACTGATTGAACGCTGAAAATTTGATTCATTTGGATCACTTGTAATGTGACATCTCTTGTTGGGTTTATGATGACCTGAACACTAACAATCATGCTTGATCATTATCAATAGTTGTTTAGCAGCTTACAACGCGTGCTTGTTTTATTATTCTAAGGTCAATCTCTGAATCCAGAGAGGAGACGCAAGCGCAGTATATCTAGTAATTGAATAAAAAAATGAGGTGAAAATGGCGTATAGATTGGTTCATAGTTGTCAAGTATCTAAACGTAATATTCACATCATTTATATAAAATTTTCAGAGTGAAAAATGTGCACACAATTTTAAAGACAATAATTTGGGTTGTTACGAGTTTAAAATACGAAATAAAATGCGCTATCGAGACTGTGATATGACTACATAATATATGCGACCACATGTCTTGCCGACACAACCTCTGCTGTTTTGAGCTCGCATTTTCAGTTTAACAACAGTTTCAAATAACCAACACTACGAACAAGAAACAGACCTTCTTTTCTAGTATTTGACGGCTGCAAGGGTTCCTTTTTACTGTTTACTTGCTGCTGGTTCTGTTTCGATTTGGCTTCTCCTTTGGCCCTCTTGTCCTGCTTCTTTGAGGGCTTCTCCTGGTCCTTCTTTTGATCCTCGACATCGTTCAATGCGTCAGGATCTACTTCCGAATCTAGAAATAAGGCATATCTGTTCGCCACTCCTATCCCGTAGGAGCAATCCATTCTGTCTGAATCCTTCTATAATCGAAGGATGGCTTGGATTTAAACGCAAACCGCGTTGGAGTAAATGCTACCTGGAATCCAATATGGCTGATGTGCTGTGGAATCCCTACACGAGGTTCGCCGTTGATGGCGCTGTGGACCAGTCGCTATGCATAAATGAGTGGTTGTTTTTTCGCGCAATTTCCAGGGTCCGTCACGAAACAACACAATAAGAGACAACAATGACCACATTTGCATGATAACACTCAAAGGCACCGAAATGACTAGAACAGATGTTCCAGTGAATTGCGCGGGAAGTTTCTATTCGAGTTTCTTTTTCATAGACACATTTACTTGACATAAAAAATGAATTTCGGCAAACGAGTACAAAAATCAGAGGGGAAAAAATAAAATATTAAAATTGACAACACGCTTTGTTTTGCGTTTACTGGTACATGCTAGGAGTTTTCTTGTCCAAAAAAATGTAAATTATTTCTGCCATTTTAAGTTCTCAGAATCTTCAGAATTTAAAAACTGAAACTGAAATAGCAGACATACTCGATAAAATGTCACTGTGTTCGGAAAAATCCTCATGATAATTAAAAAAAAGTCATTCAGATTATTATTTTATCAGTGTTACAGTTTATCATCGATATCATCCGTGTTGCAGTGCATTGACCAACGTCGACATCATGTTGGTGCAAGAACGAAAATAAATCACCCCTGAAATAATCAGTATAATTTCGGAACCCCGGGTATATCATCACAATTAAAATTTGAATAAAATCCCCTAAAAAATCATTGAAATCGAGTAGTAACGTAGTCAGTATCAGACGCACACGGCGTGTTCTTTGTTCCGTCGATCTTTTGTGACGATTCGCGTATTTCCTCATCACTTGTTTTATACATCATCCAGTGTATGTTCAATATCTCGCATAACCGTATATCTCTCACATTTCTAATTTTTTTTACTCTATTTGTATTTTAGAAATCAAATCCAAACACACGAATAACCACAAACGCCATCGCAAATACATTTCGTGATTTCCGTACGAGTGCCGCCGCGGAGACCAAAGTCTCTTCAGAAATGACCTTGAAATTCTCTGAAAATGGAAATAACGTGAAATTTATTTACTTGTTTATGTTGTTTGATTCCCGTGTGTCAACCCCAGACAGTCCTTCGTATGTTAAGCGTCATTCCCCGAACACCACGATCCATCGCGATATGAAGCCACTGAATCAAGGCACCGGTTCTTCCGAGTCGAGAAAAAACACTGATGGAATTTCCCATCATCGTCTGAAAACAGTGACTTTGTAGTTTGTTACGTTCGTTATTTCACATGAAATATTTCATTGTGCAACATTGTACATTTTCTGGAGGAGTATAAATAATTTCGTCGATGAAATAAGTTAAATTATTTTTGAAGTCGATTTCGCCATGGTCGATACAAAGGGAGCGATGTAAAATAATAATACTAAGAGACAGTCGTGCATGTGTAGGAATGCGTTCGCGTGAAGAATAATTCTTCTGGATTTATGTCAAATTTATGAAATAAAAAATAATTAAAACGTAAAGCTAATTTAGTTAAATTTCCCGCGAAAATAACATACATCAATGTTTTCGTTGACCATCCTTTGTTTCATGGATTTCAAGAAAAAAGGCGCGTTAAAGCCAGGTGTCTAATGAAATGCCGTCGAACACAAATCTTTGTCTTCTTTGTTATTCTGTTAACATTTCTTTGAAAAAAAAAAAACATTTCCCGCTTTCCATTCTTTTCGAAACAATGACGAACTTGATTGACCTGCATGCATAAACACGCCGCATTTAGGGTTTTGGTAGGTCAAGAAAAGGGGCGGGTGCGCACGCAGCTGCCGGAGTCACGGAAATGTTACGAGTTTTGGTATATTTTTACTTTTGTTTCTCCTTAAATTCCATGTAAGTATTAAAAAGTGAGACATATGGCAAGTTTAATAACGAACAAGTAAAGTGAGAGCGAGAAAACACGACAAATTATGGCTTAATACAGTATATTTGGAGGATAATCCTGATTGTATACTTGTAAACAAAAAATTAGCATTACAGAAGCCACGCATGCAAATTGCATGCAAATTTTATTCCCGTCATGCTTTTCGAAATCAGGCGGGAAATAAAAAAAACGTTGATTTGGCGGGGACATCATCAGTTGAGATCTAACAACAACACGGCAACAACATGGAAGGTACGAGTGCGATGCTTTCGCCGATGAAGAATATTCCCGATCTGTCGAAAACGACTCCGATCAAGACGATGAAGCTTGAAACGTTCGCTACCAGTCCCGGCTTGAGTGATTTTGCAATTTACCCATGGAAATGGGCCGAGAACGCACAGAAAATACAACTGAGCCCGTCATCAACTTGCAGTTCGCCGGGGTCTGACAAAGAGTCGGCGCTGCGACGAGGTCGTCCCCGTGCCGAAGTCGTCGCCAATCTGATGAAAGAAGGCAGGGTGTCGTGCAACTCGATTCGCTGCAATGTCTGCAATCGTGTATTTCCCCGTGAAAAATCACTGCAGGCACATATGAGGACGCATACAGGTAAACACGAGTTTTTTGCAAGTTTTTTAATTAAAGGGCGAATATGAGGCTAGTTCCCTTCCTTAACACGTACGATCGGTGTAAAATATTCGGTAAATATTCCAATATTAGTTGCTGCTACTTGCAAATTCTCATCACATTTTGCTTTTGATTTGATTGTGCGCAGTTCAGTTGTTTTTTAAATTAAGTTTTTCCGTATTTACAACCACCTCTGGCTTGACCTGCAACGAGACCACAGGACTTAATACACTCCATGTTTGCACTGTTTTCCCTACTGCCTTTATTTTGTGGACGAACAGTATTAATAACAAATATATTTTTGCGGTTTCACGGAACTAATCGCAATCAAAAATGTAAAAAAAAATCCAAAATAGATAATTTCGTCGTGTACTGATCGCCAGTCGTCTCAATCGCGTGGACAGCTGAGGTCATGGTGAGGAATGCGAGACTCCGTGTGACTCATCTATACACACTGGTTGAGGGCGGACAGAAAAAATCCACACAGATTTCCATCAATCTGTTATTCTTGGTGTAATACTACATCTAATTAAAATAAACCATATTTACGCGCGACCCTTTTCGTATAACAAACATGAGAAAGTGTTATTTATTTTCCCATGTTAAAGGTCTTTCCATTGTGTACCGCTGCATTTAAAATGGCGGGAAAGCCTGCTTAAACGTTGGGGTGTGAAAACCCCATGACATAATCACCGCAGATAAACAATAAAGCCCATTGAAAGATTTGAAAGAAGTCTGATTAGCCCTGGCATTACTGTGTGATGGAATTCCACTCTTAACCACTAAAAAAATAAAACTTATAAAATGTTTTATTCACATTTGATGTTTTAATATTATAAAAAATCTAATCGTGAAAAAGGGTTTGCCTCTCTGTTTTTTTTTTTTAATTTAAGATGGGTTATAGATCATTAAAAAAATTTATATGCGTGATAGACAATAACATTTTTTTTTAAATTATTTATTTTTAGGGGAAAGGCCATATGTATGTGATTACCCAAACTGCGGGAAGGCTTTTGTACAAAGTGGTCAACTAAAAACACATCAACGACTTCACACTGGTGAAAAACCATTTGTATGTACAGTTCCAGGTAAGCAGTATTTTTTTTTAAATTGCATTTTCAAATAATTATATTGTCTCGTTTAGAATTAAGAATTATACTTTGTTGTTAGGAAGTGGTCATGACTAAAAAAAAAAAAACGTGATTGTGAAATTAGTCATGTTTGTGTACACACCCTGTATGATTCAATTTCGTCATTTGAAGGCCGCATATAACATTTAAATTCCCCTCTCTTTCTGGGTCAATAGACTCTTTCCATGCATGCTTTGACTTGTCACATGTGAAACATGTCCCAGCCCATGTTTGACCCGTCTGTCCTTTTAAATAGGTTGCACAAGGCTGAAGTGCAACCTTCAGTGTGTACCAAGGAATTACCATAAACCACTCATCTATCTAAAGTTCAGATCTTTGTAATAAATTAGTAAAAACCATGTGTTGTATCTCGCTAAGAACCCCTTCCCCAAAAATACTGCGCATTCAAGCTCCCTGCTTCGCTTTCCATGTATACAGTAGGCCATGTGCAGTGAAAGAAGTCAATTTACATAACAAATACTTGTTGTCCTTTGTTCACTTGGAGGGAAATTCAAATAATGGAAAGGCCCTGTCAAAAAACAACAAAGCAACATGCATGCCTGGACCTATCCTAGAATAACAATACTCTTTTGTATGGGCTCGTAACTATATACAAGCAAGACACCTAATTCAATTGTTATTGTCTGGGGGGGGGGGGAGGGGGGAGAGAAAAGGGGGAAGTTTAAATGTATAGTTTAGGAACTTGAATTTACGAGATGAGCATTCACAGGTTGCTGAAAAACAAGTTTAGGCATGTGTCGACTGTAATGTGCTAACCATTGTGGGGGATGCATAATTTGTACGTCACTCTATTTAAATATCAACTCATCATTCGTGTTTTTTAATGAGCAGTAATATATACATAATATATATGGGGTGTTGTAGGTTTGCCAAATTTCTTCAAAAAATTAAAGACACTTCAAGTAAGATTATCCACCCCCTTCCATTGTACACAAAAGTAAAATATTTTCAATAAACTGGACAGGAAAAATCTACAAAAATAAAAAAAAATGCTGCCTAGACGGTCTTTTTTTTTTTTTTTTGCCCCCTCCCCCATACTTTTTGTTTGTTTTTCTTGTAGAAAAATGTTCCTTTTGTAAATACACCAACTTTTATACAATTTTTTTATTTTTTTTATTTAGAATTCATGATGGATTCGTTGCAATATTGCATCATCATAACTACATCCATTCGTGGGTTTATTGTGAATTAATTTACCATATTTTCTTTCTTTCAGGTTGTGAAAGTCGATTCACACATGCCAACCGCCATTGCCCAGACCATCCGTTTGCCAGATTGAAGAGGGAATTCAAAGAATCCAATCATGCTTCTCTTTCTCAGCAGAACGAAAATAATGAGGAAGTCGCTGAATGGATCAACAGGTAATTAACATTTATAACTAATTGACTTCAAATGTCTTTTTTTTTTCGTCTCGAGATTATTCTCTGTATAAATCTGATAATAGTGTATTTATTGCTTGGCTTTCTCAAAGGGAAAATTTATCTTGAAACCCGATCATTGTCGAGTTGATGCATTTGCTCTATTAGAAGCACATCTTTATGAAATTACATTGATTGTACAAGTATAATCTATTTCGACCAAAGACAAATCTGTAACTTATGTGTAAGTGCATGTGCTAATGAAAAGGACAAATTTTGTATTCTATAAATAAATTTTTCATTTAGAAATTTATTTTAGCCTTTTGTTCAGTAGTGCATAATTGTAGATATTTAATTTCAAATTTTTCACCTGTACACGTGACCAATGTGCTAAATTTATAAAGTGCAACTGTAATCACGTTTGAAGACAATTATTTTAAATTAATATTTAAAATATTGTTATTTAAATCCAAATACTTGATTCATTCTCAGATACACTGCATCACAGCTGGAGAGGTCACCAACAATACAGAAAGACAAGCAGCTGAAAAGGCGACTAGAGCAGGATGAGAAAGAGGAAACGTTGTCGGAGAAGAAAAAAGCTCGGTTAGCGGCAAAGAGGAGGCTTCATGAACAGCGAGAGAAGTGGTACGGAGCTTTGGCACTGATACAACTATCAACTGCTGGGCTATAAATGGAATTGAATTTGAAGACTTTTATCTGCTGGTGACAGCTTTGCCTTCACAAGCTAGCTAGGTTGTCTGTGCGCCCCCTTTGTGATCCAAATTCTTTATGGTGGTTTGTGCCATCGCTGTTCTTCAGAAATATGGTTTTTTGGAACACAAAGGAGGCCACTTTGCGTACTTTAAAGATAGTATTATACCCAGAATTATATTGTCCCAAGTTGTAAATATTTTTGCTCCATCTTTTATACTTAAATTATGAAAAATCGAAGATTTATACTGAATTGCAACAATTTGATACCTTATTTAAAAATATAATAGTATTTTTGAAACAAGTAGTTTTGTACTTGATAAAAACTGTTTGAGAATTTTTTTATAACATTCACAATGTCGCAGCTTTAAAATTGTTGCTGCTTTTTAAGAATATTTATACAATTTCACGAATCCTCACAAAGTTTTAATATTGCCATTAATTCAGATTTTCTGCAGTGACAAAAGTGAATTTTGTTTGCAGTGAACTCGAGAAATGCCCATTTTTCAAGTCTAAATAGTGCTAGTGTGATGCATAAGAATGATGTATTGTTTTCAGCTTTAATGCACTTGAATTTGATAATTTATGGTTGTATGTAGATGTTGAACTTGAACTCTCTTGGAGGTAGATAATTTAATGTCGTAGATTTTTACGTCTCCATAAGTATTCACTCGGTTGAAGGCAATAACCAGATAGTTTTAGCTTCAAGAATGAATTAGGTAATTTGTCAGGCAGCTCTCGTACTGACCTACAATTGTATGTAAATATCATTTCATATATTTCTTTCTCTTTTCTGAGAGCCTTGACTGGAAAGTTTCTTGAGCTTGTTTTCTATTTTTTATCCTTTTCATTCTTTGTTTCAGTCGAGAGTTGACCATTCAATTTTTTAGATATAAAATGAATATAGCAACTTTTAATCACCAAGGCAACGACAATATGAAAGTGCTACAATGTCAGTTTCTACCTTTAACAGAAATTTATTTTATTTATTGACCTCAGCGGCCATCCTCACTGCCATGTGATGCATGTATATTTCTCAAATTTTTGTAACAAGACCTTTTATTTGTAGGAAGTCGTGTTAAATTTGTTCTGTTGTCGTGCATTGCTTTTTTTTCCATGACTGCATTTGTTTGCAGTATAGATGGAAATAAATATATTATACAAAACTTCATCTTTTTGTTCCTTTATTCTTTTTTTGCCTATGGTCAGTTAAATGCTACTTGCATTGTCATTGTTCAGAGAATAATTTTTGACCAAACTCAATGCAAAAATAATGTGTGATGACTTGCATATGAATGTAAATTTTTATAATTTGACAAAATGTGGCTTGCAGGTGGCCATGTTGGGCCTAAAATTGTCTAGAAATGCACTTTGTACTGTGAAATACTTTATTTTCGCTGAAAAGGCTTTTTGGGCCTTTTGCTTGGAATTTATTTTCACTGATTTTAATGAGTTTAATGTGAAATATAGGAAAAAAAGTATATTCGCAGGATTTTATTTTCACGGAATCATCTCTTCAGCGAAAATAAAGTATTCTACAGTATTATGATCATGCATATTAGGTTACATGTGCACATAGATTTAAGATTCTAACGAATATGGTTGACTGGCAGCCATTTTGTTTTTTTCCCACCCATGTCTGCCGATTACTGACAACTAGTTTCTAAAAACTTTATCAATCTGTCCAGAAAATTCGGTATTTAACTACCTTAAATGTGTCTTGGACATGTTGAACTTTTAATCTAGTGTTCCGTGCAGTCTTCTAGCAGCATGTATACAACTTTTTTTCACAAGGCAGTTCACTGCATACACTTAAAGCACTGGACTGACTTGTATCTTGTTGCTATAACTACACTCGGGGGGGGGGGGGTTATAATGTCCATGACAATTTACATTAATTAGTCCCCGTTCGGACTCAGTCCGAAAACGGGGACTTATGTTTTGCCCTGTGTGCGTCCGTCCGTGCGTCCGTGCGTCCGTGATCACCTGTATCTCGAACATGCATGGACCGATTAAGTTCAAACTTCACTCATACATCAAACATTATATGGGACATATGCACATGCATTTTTTTCATGATCCGATTAACGATAGCCGAATAGTGGCCATTTTAAGGCCGAAAATGCATCAAAATCGCACATTTTCACCATTCCGGACCCGGATCTCAGTTATGCATGGACGGATTTTGTTCAAATTTGGTACATACATTAAGCATAATAGGACCTTGATGCACGTCATTTTTTTTTTTGGATCGGGTTCGAAATGGCCGACTGGCGGCCATTTTGTTTTAAAGAATTCAGTTCTGGATCCGTATCTGAGACATGCTTGGATTGATCAAGTTCAAACTTCACACACACAAGGTACATCATGTCACAAATATGTATGTGCATTTGTTTCATGATCTCATTAACGATAGCCAAATGGCGGC